CCTAAAGAGAATCCAACTAGCCACACCAGTTCTTCGCCATGTCATTGACGTCAGTAGCCTGTCCCCAACCTACAGGTTCTTCTTGTCTACCGCACTTCCTAGTGCTATTGACCTCAAGTTTCCTGGATTCACTGGCAGTTCCCCCCCCTTCCCTTAGTCAACACAACACCATATATGGTCTTAATCGCTCCCCACTGCTCCCATTGGTCCGTTCTCCCTAACCACCCCCCCCCTGCCTACTTCGTATATAAGCAGCGCTTTTCACATCCTATCACTACAGCTACTGCTCTCCGCATTCCAAGCCATTCAACTGCTCTGAAGATGGAGGCGCTACGTTCCTCCGAAACGTCGGCCAAAACGAAGAATAGACGGTGCCTAAACCCAGAAGACGACTTTCTTAATTCTCCGATGTCTCTAATACGAGTACATTCTTGTGAATGACTACCGAGTACTTCCACAGTGCAGTCTCTCACTTTGTTCTAATATTTTTCAGTCTGTAATAGCTGGAAAACTGTAAATTTATGACAAATGTGAAAAAATCGCGTTACGAAATCAAGATCCTTCAAGAATGTGCATGTTTTAATGAAGCATTTGTGATATTTCATAACGATAAATTCCATGTTCCAACTGAGTGTTTCTCCCAATGTCAACCCCTTGTACATAATACTGTTTCATACAAATGTGAAAATGTACATATACTATTAAAACCATCTTTATTTATGTGTAATTTATTTTTTAATAAGTTCAACCCATCTCCATTTCGTTGTTCTACAAAATGCAAAGAATACATGTATCTTAACCAAACCTCCGAACCCGGAATCCAAGGACTGAACATATATAACACAAAGGACAACCACCGTTCTCTGTCCTGAGTCAATTCACTGACAATCGTAGAGCACGCCCATATTTCTTTAAGGTTAATTTTAGTACAATCGTCTAATCTCTGATTCGCTCTCAGAAAACGAACACTTCCCAAAATATTACCCAGTAAATCTCTACATGTCTTCCTTCAGCATCACACCCTAGCTTATGTCACCCCACTGGAGGCCCCTAAATTTGTATTATCCCGACTATATTAGGAGAAGATTAAAAATTCTGAATTGCCAGAGCCGGCATAAAGATCGAGTAGACAGCCCTGCTGACTCGAATTCGGGAGAAATCGGTTTGGAATTTCGGCAGCAGACCGAATATTCTGACTAATATTTTTCGTGGTTTTCCGCAATCACTCTAGACGAATTAAATTATATTATCTTAAATTAAGCCGTCATAAATTTCTCTCATATTTTTTACAGTTTACTACTCGTCACATCATTTGGTTATAATCTGTCCGAGATACGAGTACATCATCGTCAAAAAACCAATAAAATAAACAAGAAAAGACGAAATTCATTTTAATGATTCTTTCTGAGTTTTTAACTCATTATGCGTCTCTTAGGTCCAGATATATTTCGGAATAAATTTCAGAGAATAATTTAATAATATTGTCCACCACGGCACAAGACTATGTTAGGCCTGCAAAGTCTTACAAAAAAGTCTTATTTTTATCTCTGTGTGTAGTGTTTAGGAAAATTGGCAGAATTAAACAGTTTTTACTTAAAATTTTTTCATAAAATATTAAGCATATCGTAAGATATAATACTTTTCAGTGACAAATAACATTAGATATATTTCGTATTATTATGGTCTATTAATCTTAATTTATAATTTTTATTGTCACATGAATGCACTTCAATTAACCGGAAGGTCATATGTACGTCATTATACAAGTGTGATTCTAAATTAATGCCAGGCTTTCCGTGACCTATAAATTGAAACCCCAAGAATAATTTAGAATCACTCTGTATATAGATGCAACCCTTCTTCGTTTTAAGGACCCTTCACTTTTAAATCTCCTCCCAGACACAGGCTACCCCCACTGAAACTTTCCGT